GATAATCTCCTGGCACCTGTGTTTGCTGCTCTTCCACCCCATCGCACGCTTAGACTGAGGCCAAAGGCCAGATCCTGCAAGTGTGTTTGTGGTAATGGTCCTGCTTATGTGAGAGAGAGTCTTAGCACAAGAGAGGCAAAGGTTTTGTCAGGATCTGCCCTTGAGAGTGCCACCTATAAGGAAATGACACCATTGTCATCATCTTTTATATTACTTTGGAGCCTCTTATTCTTTTTTACAAGTACTGTGTGAGTTTACATTATTGTGGCACAAATCATAGCTATGCATTATGCTGCCTTGCTTGAGGAAATGGTGTGAAGTATAGACAACTGTCCCTGGGAAACCAGGAGAAAGGTAATATCTAGGATGATTTTGGACAGACTTGGGAAAGGTTTTTCAGATGTAGATCTCAGCTACTGGAGGCTCTACATCAGCCTGTGTGTGCTGTGGAGAGATTTTTGTAGTGGTTTCACAATACAAGCGAGCGGGGACATTTTTGGTACAATGTAGATACCACTGTGGATGCTGAGGAGTCTTATTGATACTGAGGCCTCTGTATCTGACTGAGACATGAACTGCAGCTAACAAGTGTCATGTTTGTAGGAATTCAGCCTTGGCAGCTCAAGGAAAAAGAAACAAATGTACAAAAAAAATGAATTTGTGTGTGATAATTTGAGTACGCAGTGAACACTGCTGTAAAAGGAGATAATGTGGCTGGGCATGGGAAAGAAAAGAAAGAAATCTACATTGCTGTATCTTACATCGATATTTGTATCTTTCATCTCCTTAAAAATGAGCATTATTCATTTTAAAGGGTTAAAAATAATATCAGATATCTTTCCTTGTTTGATTCTGTGATTCATGTGTCCCATTTTAAAGTCTACACCCTGTGAAGAGGAGTGCATTATCAAGGAAAGAGGCTTGCCAGGGACAGAAGGTAATTTCCCGTAGCAGGTGCGTACAGCAGGTGGTACACAGTGTACCTGCAACGAAAAGGTAGATTTAGGCTAAGATTTTATTTAATATGGAAAACTTATTGCATCCTGAGCCACTACTGGGGATGTGCCAAAAATCGTGTCTGCAGCATGATTTATTACGTGAAAATACCACCGAACTAATCAGTGGAGTTACTAATTAATACAAATCTGCATTTTTGCATAAGCAATTAGTGCAAAGAGAGTGCAATGAAAGAGGAAGTTTGACTCATTTAATCTCAGTGTCTATTCAAGCGGAAAGACCCACTAGGGCAAGGCACTAGGATCTACATTTGGAATTTTTTTTCCTTTTGATTAGTTAAAGGAACTAAAAGGTCAAATTATCAATATTTAATTCAAATGGAAATGCATTTGTTCAAGAGGAAAGAAAACACTTTATTTAAACAAGGTGGGACTCTGGGGGTAAATGCCTGGATCAAAAATAATTAGATTTTGCAGTTATAACAGCATCTAAATCCCTTCTGATAAGAATCCTTTTTCCTAATAACAGAGGTGGTTTGACACTGATAGCAAAGACTGCTGATGCTATTTATACTGTAGCTCAGGCGGTAGCTGGCCTACCAATACAATTTAGACGTTTGCTTTAATGGTTCGTACTTCTCTGATTTGTTGTGGTTTTTTTTTTTTTTTTAATCAATTTGAATTATATTTTAAATCTATTGTGATTTCATAATTGTGCGCACTTGACTAAAAGAGTAATTTTAAAGGCTGATAATTAAACCTTGGTGGTGATGTATTTTCCATTAACTAAATAGAAGTTTACATTTATAGAATTAAAACAACAGCAGCATTTACCTAACGGGGAAGGCTCAATAAAATTAATACACTGAGTTTTAAGAGGGAAAAGAGCAGAAAAGGCACCTTAATCAGTCATACCAATTTCGAGCCCAGCTGTACATTGTGTCCTAGAGAGACGCTACGAAGTGCGATGCAGACGCACCCGGCACCGAACCGGTATCGGAGCGGCACTTCAAAGCTTTATCTTCCCGGCGATTCCTGACCAACGGCAGCTGCAGCAGGCTGGTCACAGCTCGGAGTGATCCGGGCAATGGGGCTGCCCTCTCCTCCCGTCCTGTCCTCTCACCGCAGCGTTTGGAAATGACCGAGCGGGGGAAAACCGCGGCCAAACCCAAGCTGGTCCTTCCCGAGCCCTAAACCCGCACCGGCGACGGCCCCACAGTGCGATGCGGTGGGAGTAAGACGGAGGGACAGGGATGGCAGGCAGGGACGTTTTCCCTTCTCTTTTTTCATTCAGGATAACCTTCGGGGTTTGTGTGGGTGCCTCTCTGGAGAAGGCAGGAGCGGGAAACATGATAGCGAGAGAGCCCGAAGAGCCCAGACTACACGGGCAGTAAATCACTAGCTCAATTATAAGCGTGGCTTCCTCTCTCCAATAGCTCTAAGCTATTTGGGGAGGCATCCTTTCTCCGCACTCTCGCAGGTGCAATATGAATCAATTATCTTAATTAAGATAATGCCGCAAACCCAAGAGATTTCATCGGGAGTGGATTTCCCGGCCCGGACAACTGTAAGGCGTTTCCACCTTGCGCTTCTCCCCCCCCGCAACAAAACCTCCCTCCCGCCCGGCCGGGATAGGGCTCAGTCCCGGCGGCGTCCCGCGGAGGGGCCGCGCTCGCTGCCACCTCCCGCCACACCGGGCCCCAGCCGGCCCCGGGATCTCCTCCTGCCGGGGCCGGGAGGCAGCAGCTGAGGCGGGAGCGGGGGCGGCCGGGCCGGCCATAGCTTTGTTGGGACGCGTGCGGTTCGCGTGCCGCGCCGCGGGAGGAGGGGGAAGGGGGGGAAGGAGAGGGGAGGGAGGCAGGGAGGGAGGAAAGAAAGGAGAAAGAGAAGAAAAAAGAAAAGGAAAGGAAAAGAAAAGGAAATGAAAAAAAATGGGAAAAAAAAAGAAAAGCAAAAGGAAAAATTAAAATTTAAAAAGAAAGAGAAAAGGAAAGAAAAGGGAAAAGAAAATCAAAGGATTTGGGAGGAAAAATAAGCAGAAGGCGAATTAGAGGACAGATGGAGAAGGAGGAGTCTATAGGTCAGGGAGAAAAAAAAAGACACGCTTGGAGCGATAAAATCAAGAGGCTGGGGGAAGAGGAGAGACAGGCAAGGTGGGAAATTGGAGCCATTGAGCCAGGCAAGGGACGGCCCGTGCAGGGAAGGCAGAGCCGACTGCCTGGGAGATCGGTAAGAGAAGCAGTGCCGAAGCGGCGGAGCGACAGAGAGCCCCGGTGCACCCGGAGCGCAGTGCCCGTCCTGTGCCCCGACGGGCGGCACGGAGCAGTGCCTCGTACCACTCGGCCTGGCTCCTCCACGGCCACGTGTGTCACCGTGGCGGAACGAGCCCCCCGAGCTGGGCTCGGTGGATTTAAGCCCCTCTGTCCGACTGGCTGCCTCTTTATTTGTCTCTCTACTCATCTGTCTCTCGACAACGTGTTGATTTTATTTTGCTCCCAGGGAAGATGACTGTGTTGGCCACACTCAGAAGCACACGAGCATCCCAAAGCTCTCACCGCTCCCCGAGATCCAGCTTTCTGCCAGTGCCCTCATCCCTATGTTTTTTCCTAGTGTTTCCCCAGCGCCCCACAATCCCAGGTATATTCCCAGCCAGTACCATTTAAAGACGGGTGACATTTTCCAGCAGCCGAGTCTGGGATGGACCAGACCCATCCCTCTCCCGCGCCCTCCAAACCTGTTTGTACCTCACCGCTTCCAAAACGCATCCCCACACCAGCCGCTCCCCGTTAATGGGGTTGTGTTCTCTAGGGAGCGGCCGACCGAGGGAGGCCCGGGCCAGCCGCCCCGGGCACAGGCATTCTCCTGGATCCTGACCCCGGGGCCCCTCTATGGTCAGAGAAGGTTCGCCACGGGCAGGGGCAGCCCCTCCGTGGGACGGCGCTTCCCTCCCTGGCGTGCCCCAGGGAAGAGCCGCAGCCGCCGGTGATCCGAGGGTACCCCGCTCCAGCCCCGCTCTCCCGACCCGGCAATACACGCCACGCTGCTGGCCCTCGCTTCCCACGGAGAATTGGCCACCTTGGAAATAACAAAACGCTGCCAGTTTCCCTCTGTATTTGATTACCGAGAAGGCGAACATCCCCCGGAGTCCCCTCCTGCCGCCCCGGCGGCCCCGGGCTATGTAGGTCACCAACAGGAGAGAAACGTTTTAAAAATAACCCGACCTGGAAAAATATCTTCCGAAACGGTCTTCTCAGGTCGGCATTATTTGTTTCTCTTTAAAGCCTCAGGAGGAGAAAATTATTTTATTTTATTTTTATTGATTAAATATCCAGATAACCCTGTAGCCCAGCTATGGTGCGAAGGGGCTATCTCTCCTCTTAAAGTGCATCTCTAAGATTTGTTCAGCGTTTGCAAACTCCGCCGAGGCGTTTAAAGACTTTAAAGCCGCCACTCTTGGGGTGTTTCGTCCAAACTTCCCGTTAACTGGAGCATTCCCATCGAAAAGCTGGGAAAAGCAACCCGGAGCTTGGTCCACGGGTGGGCACAGCAGTCACGGGACGTCCGTTTTCCCCATCACCGGAGAAATGCAGGGACGGGGCTTAACTGCGGGTCTGTGACGGCGAGGGACCGGCAAAGACTGGGACAGGGAATCTCAGAGGCGCCCGTTAGGAGATGCTGAGGGCGGTCGGTGGGGACCCAGAACAATAGGAACAATGCGGCTTCGCGGGCCGGCGGCCCCTGGGTGGCGGGTGCGGCGCGGTGCGGAGCGGTGCGGTGCCGCCGCGGTACCGCCGGCGGGTCCCGCGCGGTGACAGATGGCGCGGCCCGGCGGGTCACCGGGGGCGTGGCGGCTCCGCGGGCGGGAGCGGGCCCGCATACAAATCAGGGGCGTCACGTGGGAGGGGCGCCGCCGCCGCGCCTGACGTGGGCGGCCATATGGCGCGTGCCACCGGGCGGGGCGGGGCGAGGCGGGGCGGCAGCCGCGGTACCCGGGTCCCGGTGCCGGCCCCCCGCCGCGCATCCTCGGCCCCGCTATATAACGGGGGGAGCCCGGCGCTGCGCAACCTCGGGGAAAAAAAAAAAAAAACCAATCCACCACACACACGCGCGGCGCCCTCGCACGGAGAGCTGTGCCGGGGTTATGAGACCGTCACCGCGAAGGAGAGGCTGAGCAACGAAGGTAACGGGAAACCGGGTTTTCGCCTCCCGGGGGCAAAGGCGTTCTCGGCGACTGCCAGGGTGGGAGAGGGCCCTGCGATGCCGGGGCGGACGGGATCTGCGTCTGCCGGAACGGCTTCGGTTTTTTTATTGCCGCTTGCGGTCGTTGCTGTCGGTGTGTGCGGGCACACCTGTATCCATCCGTACACGCACACATACATAAGAGTATACATACATATGTGTAAATGTGTATGTGCGTCCGTACACACATATAAATATGTATGTGTGCGTGCATTTATATAGATGCATACTTATGTTAATGTGGTTCCACCTATGCTACCTCCGAACTTCCAGCTCCCTTTCCTCCTCGGAGCGCGGTCGCCACAGTCCCACAGCAGGCTGCGCCTCGGCGGGCGGGCGGCATTGTTTCTTCAGTGTTCCCGATGCTACTGGGGAACGGTCGCAATCCCACATGAAACGTTCCCGTGGAAAGGGAGGGGGACGATGCCCGTCTGCAACGGAGCGGACGACGGAGACGGGAAACTGGGGCCAGTCCCGCACCTGTTACCACGGGCGGGGGCCGCGGGAACCCAGCGACAGATCTGTGGCCGAAGGCGGGACCGGGGAGCAGGTGCTCGGCGCCCGCTGGGGCGGCACAAGCCCCGCGAAAGGAGGCGGCAAGGGGGAGCCGCGGAGAGCGGCGGGGACAGGCGTCAGGGGTGGCCATCCGTCCCTGGGGTTGTATGTGCGTGTGTTCGCCTTTCCCCCTGCCCTATTCCATAAGAGTGTTTGACGTTTTTTTCCAAAACAAAACAAACCAACCCAATCTATACTTGCGTCGTGCTGCCTGGGCTGCCTCCCTCACGCATAATCTGCTTATATTCTCCGCTAATATCTGCGAGTTACATAATGGCATTTGAACATATGTGAACTTAATTATAAGACAGGACCGCGGAGACAATTAAAAGTTTGCCCTGGCACGGTGGGAAATCTAAACTTCCCGCGGAGAGGACGGGGGAAACGGGGGCGGGGTGGGGGGGAGGATGTTGCATGAGGCTTCTCCCTGCGGGCGACCGCTCGGGGCCACGGGCGCTGCTCTGGGTGCTGACACGTCTCTTTTCTGTCTTCTCCACGATGCAGAGGCTCACCATGACCAAGTCGTACAGCGAGAGCGGGCTAATGGGCGAGCCCCAGCCGCAGGGCCCCCCGAGCTGGACGGACGAGTGCCTCAGCTCCCAGGACGAGGAGCACGAGGTGGACAAGAAGGAGGAGGAGCTGGAGGGTCTACACGCCGAGGCTGAGGAGGACTCGCTGCGGAACGGCGAGGAGGAGGACGAGGAGGACGACTTGGATGAAGAGGAGGAGGAGGAAGAGGAGGAGGAAGACGACGACCAGAAGCCCAAGAGGCGGGGCCCCAAGAAGAAGAAGATGACCAAGGCGCGCATGGAGCGGTTCAAGCTGCGGCGCATGAAGGCCAACGCCCGGGAGCGCAACCGCATGCACGGGCTGAACGCGGCCCTGGACAACCTGCGCAAGGTGGTGCCCTGCTACTCCAAGACGCAGAAGCTCTCCAAGATCGAGACCCTGCGCCTGGCCAAAAACTACATCTGGGCGCTCTCCGAGATCCTGCGCTCGGGCAAGAGCCCAGACCTGGTCTCCTTCGTGCAGACCCTCTGCAAGGGCCTGTCGCAGCCCACCACCAACCTGGTGGCCGGCTGCTTGCAGCTCAACCCGCGGACTTTCCTCCCCGAGCAGAGCCAGGAGGTGCCGCCGCACGTGGCGGCGGCGGCGGCGGCGGCAGCGGGCGCGCCCTTCCCGGCGCATCCCTACCCGTACCAGTCTCCGGGCCTGCCCAGCCCGCCCTACGGCACCATGGACAGCTCCCACCTCTTCCACCTCAAGCCGCCGCACGCCTACGGCGCCGCGCTGGAGCCCTTCTTCGAGAGCGGGCTGGCGGAGGGCGCCAGCCCCGCCTTCGACGGGCCGCTCAGCCCGCCCCTCAGCGTGAACGGCAACTTCTCCTTCAAGCACGAGCCGGCCGCCGACTTCGACAAGAGCTACGCCTTCTCCATGCACTACCCCGCCGCCGCCGCCGCCGCGCTGGCCGCCGCGCCCGCCCACGCCGCCATCTTCCCGCCCGCCGCCTCCCGCTGCGAGATCCCGGTGGACGGGCTGGCGCCCTACGAGGGCCACCCGCACCACGAGCGCGTCCTCAGCGCCCAGCTCAACGCCATCTTCCACGACTGAGCCTCCCCGCGCCGAGCGAGGGCAGGGGGAGCGCCGAGCCCCGCCGCCCGGCACCGCCTTGTTTACAGGGGGCAGCCCGGCGGGTCCCACCGCCGCCTCCGGGGCCGCCGCGTCCCCCCCTCTCTCCCCCCCCTCTCACCCGCTGTCTTTGCTTCCGCTCCTCCGAGCGACGCTGTAAATTGGGGTAGGGGCATTGGGATCGCGTCAATTACCTGATCGGGATAACAAAATCACAAGCAATAATTAGGATCTATGCAATTTTTAAACTAGCGATGGGCCAATTACAAAATATATATGAAATCTATATTTTTCAACCAACGTTTTACTACTTGTTACCTTTCCCATGCTGAATTATTTTGTTGTGATTTTGTACAGAATTTTTAATGACTTTTTATAACGTGAATTTCCTATTTTAAACCATGCAGCTTCATCAATTTTTATACATATTGGAAAGGTAGAATTATATCTAATTTATACAAAATGATTTAACTAATTTAAACCAGCAGAAAAGTGCTTAGAGAAGTTATGTTGCCTTAGCACTTCTTTCCTTTTCAAATAGATGAAGAAGAAAAAAAAATGCACAAACCGGGCAATTTCTTTCCCATGCAAGTCTCTTCTTTTTTCTTTCTTTATTTCTTTTTCCTTTACCCCTAACAATAAGAACCAGATCCCCTAGGTCTTGAGAAGATTTAAGAACGATAGACTTATTTTCTATCATAACATATCAATTCAACACATTACTTGCACAAACTTGTATATAAAGATTATAAGCAAATGCCAACACCCTTTTTAAATCGAAAGCTGCTTGACTATCACATACAATTTGCACTGTTTCTTTTTAGTCTTTGAACCCCTTGACATTCCGTGGGTTTGGTGGTTTTTTTCTGGTTTTTTTCCTTTTTTTTTTTTTTTTCTTTTTTAAGATAACTTGAAGATATTAATGTTTCCAGGCGATATAAATGCATGATTTTATACATGTTCACACAATCCGTGGTTGTCATATGCTCATTTTATAAATCGGAACCGAAATCTAATCAGGTTGTTAAAGTCGGGCTATATACCTATTGTAGTCGATTAGTACGGTAGCTTGAAACAAATTCAAACCATTTAATCCGTAATTAGAACAATAGCTATTGCATGTACAATGCAGTCCAGAATAAGTGCTGTTTGAAATGTAACGCTGGTTCAACTGGAATCAATCTGTACTGTAATTTTGTTTGTAATCCTGTATATTATGGTGTAATGCACACTGGGATTTTAGAAAAACATCCATCCTTTGGCAACAACATAGTATTGAACATTTGGTCGAATGTTGCATTTCTCCTTAAATGTGATTTATTTTTTCTTAGTGTAAGTAATTCCTATGGGATTATTGTTTTATTCGGATAGCTCATGAAAGGTGCAACACTTATTATTTGTAGAATAAAATTGGACTAAAAAAAAGGACATGGATTCTTTACTTACCTTGAGGAGTACCAGGGGAAGGGGGCGGGGGTTGTTGGTTTGTTTACAGCGAACCCTGCTATTTGCAATGCTGATTTGTTGAATTAGGGAAACGGGGGCAGAGACGCGGTTCGCCAGAGAGCTGGAGCTGCGGCTGCCGGCGCGGGATGCGCCAGGAGCCCCGCACTCGCCCGGGCGGCCCCCGGCCAGCTCAACCCTGCGCCTGCTGCCCTCGAGGCTCTCCTCTCGGGCTCCCAACCTGCCCCGAACCGCGGGAGCTCCCGCGCCCGTCCGGGACCGGCACACCGGGAACGCGGCTCGGCGGCTCGGTGGCAGCAGGTGCGCCTTCCTCTGCAAGGCAGACCTGGACCCAGCGCCATCGATTCACCGTCCCTCCTCTTCCCAGAGGGGAAACGTGTTTCTTTAATCTTCAGTGATTATTCCGAGGCTTAAGAAACCCGGAGACACAACCTGCGGGAGAGCAATTCCCCTAACGACCAAGAACAATTATCAACAGGTCTTTGCGTCTGACCATCAGATTTAAGACGTTACCTGAAATACTTTCTATGAAGCCTGCCACAAAGCGAAGGTATTTCACAAATATTTCATTTAAATTCAGCAGAAAGTGAACATCCTTGTCCCCTATGGACGAAGGATTTTTTTTTCCAGGAGAAATCGAGCTATTGACTTCTATTTTGAAGGTGTTTATAGCTACGGAAATCCAATGCGTAAGCATGGCAAACCTGTCCTAGTGGTGCAGCATACCCCTCTGCCAGGCTTCCCAGCTATAAACACGCTGAAAACTAATTGTGACACCGAGTGATGCATTTTGCAGCATCTCCCTGCGCTTCACCCGAGCCTGCAGCTCGAAAACTGTTGCTGAATCTGAAAAGAAAGCAAAAGGCAACTTTTCAAGCACCCGATTAACCTTTCTCAGTTAGTGGCAACAGAGCTAAATGTACTCTAGATAACCCGAGGGGGAGTGAATGAACTTCAGTTTTTCAGATAAAATTGAAAAAGCTGACCCAGGCCTGCTCGCCTTTTGGTTATGCACCTTCTTCCTAAAAATAAGGATTCTTCTAGTCAGTCAAGGGGCAACTCGCATGCCACCATCTTTTATTCAAAGGCAGGCACAGATGTTCCTTCTGCAGGGGAGGTTTTAATTTATGAAAATGATATTGTTTATGCATGAATGCACTCTGCATAACACACAATACTTCCATCTGATGAGAGAAATACCACAGAACCAGTGCCAATGTCAGGAACATATTCTGCAAATTTAGTCGCTTAAATGTTTAATGAATATTTGGAAGGCATTTCCAAACCACAAGAAACCTTTTCAATTACCTTTTCTTTTTCCACTGTTAATAGGAAAATTCAACTCCTCTAGCCAATGCAACTTACTTAAAAGATCTACCTAGGCTATCTGAATGTTTGCCACTGTGATGCTTTAGAAAAAGTAACATTTTAATGTTACGAGCAATGTCATAAGGAAAATAAATTGGGCATTTTGGTAACTAGAGGCTCCATTTTACAAATAACTTGTGAGTCTTGTTATTTCAATTAGTTTTGGGTGCTTTTTTTTTCCCACCACCCTGATAAAATATTGGAGATCCTTCCCCCTCCCCCGCTTTGCTGATGCTTCTGATGTCTCCATGATATTTCTTTCATACTATTAACATCAAGCCAAATCTTGAAATTTCTGTGCATGACTCCCACAGGAAGGTCTATCAAGGTCTCTTTTAATGGAAAGAATTACTCACACTGTTCCTCTTCTATAAACATATCACTAATTAACTAAGGCTATAGTGGGATTATCTGACTTCCACATGCAGAGAAAACTCTGGGGTTGAGTTGTACCCACACACACATACTGGATCATCTGGCACAGACCTGAAACTGTATTTTCATGGCTTATCGTGACCAATGGCCCTTCCCTTCTTCACGGCATACCTCCTACAGCAGAAATTGCTCTGCCACCGGTGCATGCTTGAGGAGACCTCAGAGAAATCTCTGCAGGTTCAGTACATAAGTAAGTCACAACTTGCAGCTTTTCCCTTGGTGTTCTGAAGCAACAGAAGAGGGTCTGGAGTTTGTGGACCCCTCGTTGCCTGTGATACAGCCGAGGCCCCAGCTATGGCAGAGGAATCTCAAATGGTGGAATCCCACCCAGGTTATATCCACAAGACCTCAGAGACTGAAGCCTCAAGTTTCACATAGCCCAAATGAGAAATGTGCCTGAACAACATCAAACTTTGTCCCACTGCCTGCAGAAGTGAAGGGAAGTAGATTCAAGGAGAACCAAGATTCCCGAATTCACTAGAAGAAAACAGAGAGCTGCTTTTTCCAAAGATACTGTTCTACAGTTTTAATAAACTGATAGTAAAAAGCAATATGCAATTCCAGAGCCAACAAGGATTAATGGAAATAATTCTAAACTAAGTTTTGAGGGCAGGTAAAGCAAATCTTTTCTACCTTCTGTAACAGTAAGAATTCTTGCAATTATTTCAATATTGTAACTAATTAATCCACTAGGATCTTAACAATTGCTTTTGACATATCAAAAATGAGTCTCTTTTAAAGTAGAATACAATACTTCTGTTCAAAGAACCATTTTGTCAAATAGTTTTAGAAATTACAGAGATAAATGCCAGTCTCTTTTTTTTATATTTAAAGAGAAAAACAAACAAACCCCATTCATTCTTATTGAGGAAGAACTCACAGAAATGAAACTTGGAGTTCTGCCTGGCGCTGTAGCAGAGAAAATATGTAGACATTTGTCTTTGTTTTTATTAACCAGGATGGGATGTATGGTAATTTCAGAAATTATAAGTGGTCTACACTCTTTCCTTAGCTGAAAATCCCATAATCCAAAAATCCTGAAAAATATAGTACATTAATAAATGTTGAAACCATCGAGCTGAAGATCTATAAATAGACTGTTATTTAAATATGTACATAAGTGTTTTTTAAATAATTCATATATGTATTTAACAACCTGTCAGAAGCAATGCAATACAAAATTAAAACTGACAATGCTCTCAAAGCATTCTCTTAAGTATTTAGGTTGCCTACAGGGTATGTAAAACATAGAATATCAGCCCTAGTTTTCACTTTCCTAGCTTGTAGTAGCTTGCAGTATACAGTTAAGTGCATTTTGTATTAAATAGAAGCAACTAAGATTTACACATTTACACTCATTTTGGTGACAGAGCAATAAGAAAAAGATTCAGAGAAAAAAATTACTGCCTTAAAAGGATAACATATCAACTTCAATGCAAACAAAAGACAATGTCTTCTGATCAAGACATTCGTATTTTATATTCTTCCCATTACCACATTTTTCTCCTATTAAGATCAATATCAGTTCAAGGGGGTCTCAGGAATGACCTCCATTTCAGACTGCATTCCTGCAGCTTCTTATGCCTGCATAATAATTTCACTTGTTATTCTTGCAAATATTTGTCCATTTCCTTACCTGCTTTTATTTCTCTTGTTTTTAATGCTTTCCCTCTTTTGAGAATAGAGAAAGATGTATAGTAATAGTAATGCTCTCTTCTACAGACCTTTGATGCCATTTTCCTTCAGAATAATTTATGACTTTGCTTACTGTCCAAAAAGTTTGGTGTTCCACCTAATGTCTCTT